CTGCAAGTTTTCGTGGCCCAAGACGTGGTTGTCCCGAACTGACTGATGAGGGTTCTGTGGTAGTCAGAAGCAGGAGGAATGCCACCCATAGAGGCTGCCTCACCATTAAGGGTTGAGATATCTTCTTATCAATGAACACATGATGTTTTGCGTTGATTTCTTTGTGAAATCTTGTAATATGTTTGAGGGGTATTCTCTGTCATTCACTCTGTTCCATCATGTTTGTGTCTAGTCTCTCGTCTGCCATGCTCCTTTAAAATTTCTCAAATACTCGAGCCTCATTTAGGGCATTAGCGACTGTTCGGTCCGCATTTTCCCTCACTACTAAGTTGGCCGGATCGTCAAATTCACATTGAGACCCCACAGCCAACGAAATATCCAGGCTGCGTTTGAACTTTGCAGCAGCGTACGCTGGCGTTTCCAGCGTTCGCGCAGCGGCAGTGGCAAGAAGGATAGATATCGATCTAGCGTCACCAGCGTGCGCTAGCCCTCAATCGCTAGCGTACGCCAGCGTAACGCTAGAGTATTCCAGCGTTACCCTAGCGCTCGCTAGAGTACTCTGGCGTTACGCTAGATTGATGTCTATCCTTTCTTGTCACTGCCGCTGGCGCTGGCGAGACGCTAGCGTAGGCTGGCGTACGCTGCCGCAAAGCAACGCGGTCTTAGCGGCCACAACACTCTCTGAACCCACGGCTTTGATAACTTCATCACAAATGAGGTACCAGGATTGCTGGCTTACGTTTTAGCGATTACGAGTCTAAAAGCCACAACATGACCTCGTTCTTTAGAGTAAAGTTTCGAAACCAGTGAACAGTGAAAGTGACTATTGCACTTTCACTGTTGTTGAAGCCCGTTCCCACAATCAAATTTGAACCTTACTGCATTCGAGGTTGAATAGTTAAACTGATTCATAGTTAAATTTATACAAGCTCTAATGCGCGAAGTAATTGGAACATGAAGATATGGTGGCTAAACGCGTACTCTATGGAAGGGGTATGTCTCGAAAAAGACACCTTTCTTCTCTTTCTCATGTCTTTCCTTTATATCGGACAGAGTGGGTGCTGCCATTAGAAGAGCACAGTTGCGCAACGATGTTCATTAGTGAATATCCCCAACGAAAGCATAAAAGGGCAAGTGGTTCTTAATCGGCTCTGCTGGGTAGTGCATGTCAGAAGGTTGGAGGATTTGCCCTCATGGCAAAACGCTAGACTGTGCTTAAGAGCGTTATTTGTTGAAGATCGGATGCAAGGAACACCTAGCCAGCATGAGAAGCAGTACTTCTTCAATAGCTCTTGGGAGGCACAATCTGATGGAACATAGTAGTGCTAATTTTGAAGTAAGGTGCACAGGTTGGCGCATGAGACGGAAATTTGTGCGAGAAAAGCTCTAGAAGCGTTCTGGATTTCCACAAGGAATCCATCTATGAACAACCGAGGTGAGCGTCCTTCGATAGCTAGTGAACTGTCACCGTTCATTCCGCACTGCGAGCTGTAGAACATCAAAGAGCGTCTCCCAAATTTGCAAATATAAGAAGACAGTACATTACACATTACTCGTCCTCTACCAGCGCTCAGAAGTGGTGGCGGATTCTCGGTGGAGCCCTGGTTGAGTTTATTTTCTGAGTTGTTTGGATTTCTCTTCGAGGTTCCCGATAGAAGAGTGGAACCGCTAGAGAAGATGAAGCGCTTGATGGTGTAGAGCATAGATCTGATTTCGAACCGCTTTCAGGCCTCCGAAAACGGCAAATCGGTCGAAACGTCAGGCCGATTTAGTAGGAACTTCCACCTACCAACTTTGTACCACAAATTACAACTTACCGATGTTGAAACAGGGGAGAAGCTGGGAACTTCTCTCTCTAGTGTTTGAAAAGTCAGCGGACAACCAAACAATCTGAGACAGTCAGTTTTCTTGCCTTTTTCAAGTGGCAAGAGTGGTCCTTTTCAGCGGCTAGCTGTGAACCTGTCCAACTCGTACATAAGAGCGATTTGTCTCTCAGGCTATTGGGTGGCATTAAAGGTGCCCGTAGCGAGGCTAAACTGCCTCCGAAAAGGTTGAAGGCAGAGCAAGCTGGCACAAAATCCCATCCATTATGTTGCAAGTCATCCAGGGGATCCTTTCATGTAGGCGACCTCTATAAGCTTTGATGAGTTTCTGAATGGCATTGCATAAGAAGCCAAAGCTCCACTGATTTCAGCATTCATGCATATCCATCCTTTTTTGTTGTCGCTCGAAGAATGCTGGAATTGTATGCATTTCCCTAGAAGAATGCTGAGAACATCGTCTGGAATCTGAACGCGATGGCCGCCTTGACATCATGAGATTCGGAATGTCTCTAGCCATGAACATTCACTGTTTATGCCTTTGTTTTTTGCACCACCTTCGTAGACGTCGGCATTCTGGTATTTCTTTGGAATCCTCTCAGGATTATTTGAAATGGACCTCAAAGAGAGTCGGGATTATATGTGAAGGGCAGTGCTAGCCTTAGCAAGTTTCGCATTGAGATTTATGAGTATGTGAGCGTGCAGTGTTTTTGCCAGTAAAACCCACTACATAAATTTTTCACGACCATAGTCGATTGCCTTCGGCACACACTAAACCACTTCCTAACAACTCACGCTTCTCTTCCATTATCTCCCATAAAATGAAAATGAAGAAGAAGCTCGATCGTTCCAATTGGTCTTGAGCAAGAGGGATTCGATTCAAAAAGTTTGAGCCGGTTTCATAAGCGGTGATGTGATAGTATCCTGTCCTACTGCACATAGATAGTCGGCTACGTCTGTTAGTTTGTCTGCTTGTTCAATGTCTATTTGTTTGTCTGTCTGTCTGTCTGTCTGTCTGTCTGTCTGTCTGTCTGTCTGTCTGTCTGTCTGTCTGTCTGTCTGTCTGTCTGTCTGTCTGTCTGTCTGTCTGGAAATTCGCTATCAATGCAGAGTCACTTCGGAAATCCGGTTAGGTTTGGGGTGAGTAGGGCATAGCTCAAGGTGTGCATCCGCCTACAGTAGGGACATTCGTCGGACGTGAACGGTGACAACGACAAAATATCAGTTTTAGTGAAATGGCTTTACCTTCCCCCACCTACTTACCCTCTCCCCTCTGCATGCTGGCCCTCCAGTTCCTTTCTCAAAATTAACGTCTCCCACCAGGAGAGAGGCTCTTTGGTTGCGAGAGGAGTTCGAACGCAGCACATGGTAAAAAGATTGCCCAGCGATCAGCCTTCAGGACAAGGAAAAAACTTCTACTGCTGCTGGTGCTCTGTGAAACAATCGACTGCGAGAACTGCGAACTTCTGCTGGTGCTTCAGTGAAAAATCGACTGCGAGATGCAGCTCGATCTTACTGAGATTGAGCTGAGATTAATGTTTTAAGAGCTAAAGCCAACGGATTTGGTTGAGTGTAAATTCAGAACGATAGCCTCACACATAGCCTTTCCTACCTCTTCTGGCACTCTAGGCAATACCCAAAGAAGGAGGAGACTTATTTGGAAAACACTCTTGAAACATGTACAGGAAGAATGTTTAGCTCCGGCCCATGGAGAGCTGACAGCTTTCGAGCAGGAAAAAGTGAAGTCTGCGCGAGTAAGCTGCCTGTAGGCACAACCTGGGGATTTCGACCCGTGAGTTATCACATCTGCCTGCGATCTCAACCCCAAATTCCTCCTCTACTCTTTATAGTAAATATGGTGTGAGTCATTGTAGTGCTTAGGTAAAGTCACATGTGTCCTTGGAATCAAGTGAAAAAGAGCTTGGGAAAGTTACGCAGGACACCTACAACAATCAGTTTCCTGCGGTTGCAGTCGTTTCAGTTCATTCAATGGGCCTCCACTTGAAAATGTGAATTGCACGGTTTCTTGTTTTTGCTATATCATTCAGTGAGAGAGCTGGCACCCAACATAATATGCCCATTGAACAGCTTTCCGTCATCTAATCGAAAAAACGCCTTGAAGGGCTCTCCTTCGCCTTCGGGTTGATTCGATTAGCCTAGGAGTGGTCATTGAGGCAGCCTACAAAAATTGCTGCAGAAGAGAACTTAGGGTTACACTGAGGAGTGATCGTCATAGGAACGTTCACGAAAATGACAGGGTTCTCAGGTTTCCGTGCAGCTGATGCGCAAGGTCAGCTTCAGAGAATCAATGATAAACTGCTGATCCAAAAATACGGCACCATCTGCGCTTTCATGTAGAGTTGAAGCGCTTTATCCGCTTCTGGAGCGTAAAAACTGGTGCGGCTCGTTCTAGAGGGCAGTTTTCTGGTTCTCATTAACATGAAGACCGTGACGGTCTGTCATAGTGATCATTCATGCATCACGTCGAACATTTGAGTGCACCAAAAGCGTAGCGCAAAAGCCATCAAGCTGAAGTGATAAGAAGTTGCTAAGGTGAACGAGTCCGCAGCTGCAACAGGCTGACTCTTCCTCCGCTCGAAGTGGTACTGGAATGGCTATGGGGGTAGTAATGCAGCCGCACGGGCAGCCACTTTTCTAAGCAAGCCGAAGGCGCTGCTTGTCTGCGTTCTCTCACTCCTAGTCATTTTCTACCTCTGCATCTGCATTCGGCTGGGGGATCTTGGTAGTGTAGTATCAAGGCAAAGGGGGGCGGGGGCTGCGCCATGGCGTAGCGCGAGCGGAGTAACGGAGTCGGCTTCCGGGTTACACTACCATGCAATTCTGTTCCTCTGCACTTCTGAGCGACAGCTTTACTGTAGCTTCACCGTCTTCGACCCATCCTCTCCACACATGGAAATGACTGTCCCGGAGGTGAGTGCGACAATAAACGCAGGATGCAGGCTCGAGTCTCCCTAGGGTTAAGCTTTCATTCATAACTAAGCATTTTTGTGAGAGTAACAACTTTTTGTCGCTGGGGATTTTGACCACATTAGCCAACAATTACAAGATGAGCAAAGATCCTGAAGCACTAATCTGAATAATCCAGCTTTGAGGCTGCTGCGAATCATACCTATCAAAACATCAATGTGTTACTTTTTGAATTCCAACTACAGGTACTGCATGACGAAGCACTGGACGTTCACGGGATTCGAGCAGCGGACACGTTGGTTAGCATTGCTTTTCGTTGTCGGTATGGCGATCATCATCAAGAATATTACAGCGGTCAGTGAAAGACTTATACTCTATACTCTTTGTACTGTCACCGACAGTTTTTACCTAACAGGTATCGATTTGGGCGTTAGAGGAGGGGGCATTTTGCACTTTTGCTACTTCCCATAGACCTTTTTGAGTGGACAGGTTTCATCTTTTCTTTTCTTGAGTTGACAGGTTTCACCATGGGTTGCTCCAACATCACAAGAGTCCACATGTTCTACCAGAGTGAGACTTGCAAACAGGATTTAGTGAAGCAGTGAGAGCGCAAAATGCCACCCCCCCCCGTCGCCAACTGCGCCAAGCTCAGGATTCTTCCAGCTGCTTTCATAGGACCATTCGCAATAAAAGGTCTCTTGCTGTGATTTCAGGATATATCGGTAATCGAGCGAGATGAATGCAGTGGGTATCGGCGCTTCAAAGTAGCGTTTCAACGAAGTGACGCCTATCATCTCAGTCTCTTCAATACCGTCGCCATTTTCGTGCCTTTTTTCACGCTAATCTTCCTCAACGGCGGGATCGTAATGATGTTGAGGAAGCAAAATGTACAGGTGGGTGCTTGAGCTATTTCTAATAAATAGAAGCTTAGATATCGAGTGGGCTCAGGTTATAGGAGCTGCAAGGCTTAGACTCACTGGCGAAATGGGGTTGAAGAAGAGCAATCCCTCAAGAGGTTTTCTCTCCTCAAAGTTCACAAAATCTTGTATAGCTTTTAATGAAGCAAAGATCAGTTGTTGTTATGTAGCAGGGACGATCGTGTGCTTGTTGATTTTCTAAAAGATGCCCTCAAAGCGATTGATCGGAAAAAGTGCACTGAAGTCTTGTTTTTCACTGGGCCTACGTAACGTACCAGTCGGTGTCGAACCCCTCACAGTCAAAGAATGAGCGATAAATCTATTAGCCAGATGTCAGTGCCCTTTCACTATTTGTAATCCCTCCTGAAAAACAAGGTCATCGAATGTTCAGGGAACATGAAAAAAGTTTGATACATACAATTATAGGTAAACCTATTCGCTTAACAGGACTGGTCAATCTGGATGTCGGACGGAGTCAATGTTCTTGTGCTTGATAGAGTTTTGGCATTCAGTGAGGACACATGAATTATGGGGGGAAATAGCGGCGTGTGTAAAGCACCTTCAAGTCTGCCCCCCCCCTCCCCCTTTTGTACGACTCTCTTTCGACACTTGCCGAACACTTCATCAAATTTTAGCTAAAAATTTACCTTTGAGTGGGGAAGGGAGGACAGATAAACATTTTAGATGTGTACAATGCATTGCATAATCATAAACCCATTGATTCATTTTGTCAAAAACTCTACCTGAATACTTACAAAATGTTTTCGTGCTGAATACATATGCGCATTTGAACGTAAACAGCCAACTTCAGCTTTGAAAACATGGAATTTCATCCTTAAAGGCAGTGGCACGATAAGTCACTAAGGCGAGTAGGATGACCATGCCTTCGACGACGGAGGGGGGGGGGGAAGGGAATTTCGCGCTTTTGCTACTTCTACTTCCCATCGATGTGTCGACCTATGTATCTAGACAGCCTCTTCTCGAGTTGACAGGTTTTAACGAATGGCTTGACGACCTTGCTCCAGCTTCACAAGAGTTCACAGGTTTCGCCAGAGTGAGACTTGTAAACCGGAACTAGGGAAGCAATTAGTACAAAATGCCCCCCCCCTCCGGTCACGAACTGCGCCCGGTTTCGTCTAATCTTATGAGGATACAAAATACACTGATCACCGAAGGGGAGGGGGAGCCACTGTATAGGCCAAGTGCCATCAAAAGCCACTGTGATTCTGAATGAAAATAGAATGTGGTGTACCTCTGAAACATACAAGTCAATGTTGAGAGCTTATCATTTCATTCTAGCAAATATTCGAAGCCATATATGTACTTAAGCGTCTTTTAGAAATATGTGGTAGTTCCATTAGTTCGAGTGTCTAGTTTCAAAGCTCAACTGAAGTTAACTTTTCAGCAATTACGTTCGTTAATTACCGAACTCACGATGGGTCATGATGTGATGAAAATCAGGCGACGAAATCTGCGAACGGCCACAAATACCCTCATAGTGATCATATCAGCGTATTTGATATCGAACCTGCTCAACGTCTATCTGACCATCACAGAGTACTTTAATGCTGGTCTGTGATCTCACTTTTTTCTAACGGACACAGCTATCCCCAATGGAATCCTTTCAGACTTTCTCCACGTCCATCATCCGGATTTCTTTCGACTGGCTGCCGATTTCGCCTCAGTTCTGACCGTCATCGGAAATGCTATACGATGTCCGGCACATTTCTTGTCAAGCTCTGAAATTCGACAGCAGTTCTCGCTGATGGTCTTCGGCGAAGTGCAGGATAAAGCGGTGAAATTTTTCTCAAGCCTTCAGAGACTTGCAACAATTAACATTTTAATTAATTGACATTTTATATATCTTCGGATTAATAAGTCTTTCTTGGCCCTCAGGATGGTCTTTAGTAGGCGACTGGTTCTCCTGGGCATCAGAACTTTTATGGTCAAAGCAGTCGCAATTAGGGGGAGGGGTTGTTGAATCCATTCATCCGATCAAATGTCCGTTACTCCTTATTTTTTCTCACCGTCCTCTGCCCGATTCCTTTCATATTCCTTTTGCCACTATTTTCGATCATTTTGAGTGACGGCAGGAGGGTGTAGATACAAACCATTCATTTGCATGTACCTTTTACGAGGGATTTCTCCAGTCGTGGAGCTCATTTTCAGAAGGGTTCGTTGCATGTCGTAGGGATAAGTGTGCGACGAAAGTGCAATTCGTTTTTGCTGTGCCCCACTAGAAATGCCCAGAAGTGGCGAAAAAAGTTCGAGGAGCTCACAACGAACTCAGCGATTGAAAGCACTTTTGTTTTTTGTAGGTGGATTTGGGTGCTTCAGACACGTTTTTGTTCAGACAAAAGTTTCCCACTTGCACGAACACAAGGGGAAATTGCAGAAATGCAAGAAATTGTCACGTAGGGGATTTGAACTATCTGCTTCATTCTTTATCCTTTCTTGGCCTTGCCACAGCGTGAACCTCTTTGACTTTCAACTAACCCTTTTGAAAATGTACTTCACGACAAGAAAAACCTCCCTTGCTAGTGAAAGGATGTCAAGGGGCGGTGAAAGAGATGATGCAAATGGGCACAGTGGTCATTCAAAGAGCTAACTGATCTACCGAGGGTACGCTCCAGTGTGTCGAGTCAGCTAGCCGGAGAGTGCGCAGTTACACTCCTTATCCCTGACACAGAGTAGGCATAGCGTTCAAAATGGCATAGGCTGGGCTACTGGGTGGTATATTTCTATATTTGAGACAACTGACATCTTTCACCAACTTCTCTCAAAGTGCTGCGTGACGCCTTCCCCAAGGAATGTCCGTTTATGAAGGCCCTACCAAGCTACAACATACATATATGCCCGTACGCCCTTGGTACCGCAAATGGACGACCCTGACGCTCGTACTGATTAATTTGATGAACAAATTATGAAACGAAAGAAAGCGGTCGCGGTGTATAGATATATGAGTCAATGCAGCCGTGTCTTCGGTAGCGGTTATTGGCAAGATGCCTATGGGAAACTCGTCCGAAATCGATTTCAAGTCACTGAGAACGGAGGCTTTTTCTTCGCAGGATTTTGACCGTTTCACTCCGTTCTTTCGCCATTTCCCCACTATATAGCGCCCTGCTAGCATTTTAGGCCGAGTACCAATTATCGTGCCAACTGCCTTTAATAATGGTTCACCCAACAATCTCGTGAGGCGGAAAAGAATTAATCACTGCCATCTTTGTTCTGTGTTGGACAAAACATGATTACAGGTGTCCTGAAATGAAAATATCTTACGAAAACCTTGTCTGCCCACGTTCAATTTTAAACATGCACCCACGCCTACCGCATCTCAGGGATTTTTATCGTAATCCGTGCGCGTCCGCGCAAGTGGATGTAGTTCTCACAGCCCTACCTTTTTTGTGAGGCCTCCTTAAACCGGGGTGGCGCCTCTGACTGATGAGTGGGTAGGGTTTTGGAACGGTGACCTCAACGGCAAGCATGGTTTTGAAGTCTTCGCGAAATATAAGCATAAACATCGAAGTGCATCACACAGATTAAACACGAGTTCCAGCGCCTTTTTTATGATTAGGCTCAATGAGATTTCCGGCGCAGTTCGGCTTGCTGGGGCACCAGATAGTTTCCAGCGAAGTTTGTACAGTCCACTTTGTGAAGACCTGTAAATTCCTGACCAGCGCGGTTCAACTGCACAAATTCGCAGCTTCACAGGTGTTTACAGGTCTGACCAAGGCAGACGCATTGGTAGCATAAGCCAACAGCAGGAACTAAAGGAAAGTTAAATACCCCCTCCAAGTCAAACAGCGCCGCATTTCCTCACGATCGTAAATTTTTAACGATTAGCTTTCTATAAACATTTTTCTGTGTGGCTTAATACTGTAGCTCTCCTTTTTCTTCAGAACTTTGAATCAACGCAGAGAAGACATAGTGAGCGACTGGAGAATCCGTGGATTTCGCTCCTTCTCACCGTGCACGACAAGGACCGACCCAACACCCCGTTACTGGCTGACAGCTATGTGAAGCGACACAGTGTCGTTGCTATTTGTTGAACGGTTGTGTTCCAAAAAACCCTTGGTGTTCACTCTTCAGTTCATATTACTGGACTCCTTATTCCTTAAGGAACCCTACTCGATAGTTGATTATTTCATCATATCTGATTCCTACTTACTTCCATCTATACCGTTTTTGCCCATTTCAGGCTCTAGGAACAATGCCATGAAATAGGTGCTCCAGCGATTTTTTTACGCGAATATAGTCACCCATTTTACGTACGGGTACAGAATCGGTATTGTCAGAGTTTTAGTTTGTTCATTCCATTAGTTAGTTCTATACGGGTTTTGTCATGTATGCATTTTTTTGTACAAATGTCTATTAGTCACGAGTTAATAAAGCTAAAAATCGAGCACTATAGTCGTCCGGATCAAAGTGATTTTAATGATGGTCTGGTTCATTTGCACTAAAGGAGAATGTACTGAAAAATCCCTCAGAGTGTACGATTCGGAAGGAGATCGATGTGCCGGCGGTTGCCCGGTGAAGGTGCGAGTCTCATGTATAGGGCAAATATGTAGGTGAAAAAGCGATACAGTCTCGTTTCCTGCGAATACTGGGGTGTTTCAGGCGGTTTACTTGGCGAGGCGCCTGCCCGTCCTCAGGAGATCGTAATCGCTCGCTCGCTTTAGCAACTAGTGAGGATCACACTGCCGCCGCGCCATTACCTTTCCCCCCTCTCCATGGACACGTCCCAGATGTCCGCAGCGAACAAGACTGTACTTCCCTCAACACGTTCGCCTGCGCCTGCACTGCGCAAATTCTGGCCGCAAAGGGTAGTTCACGTGGAAAACCATCAGTAAATTATTCCTCAGATGGTTCTCTATACGTTGGAAAACAAGCATTGCACCACTGACCCCACCGTCGAGAGAAAGTGAGGCCACCAATCATTTCGCGCAAGAAGGATTAGAACTCGCTCCACTCTGCAGTTGCTGTGCATTTTTGAAAAAATTGCTACAGTATATGATTTTTCATGTGTCGACCCTCCAAGCAAATTATCTTCAAATGACCTAAGATCCAGCCCACATCGGGTTTAAAATATAATGGTTAGGACCAGTCCTTCCATAGAGTACCCCGACCACCAAAACTCGAAGCCTACGAATACGCTCCTTCGATGAAATATTCTTTTTTTTGTTGTTGTTTCTACTTTTTTTTCATCGCGCCTCCCCCTATGTAGATGGAATACAGAGTAAGGTTCATTCTCGTGAATGGTGGCAATGCTGTAAAAACGAAAAAGGAGTCTTTTCGTAAAGGCAACCTTCTGGGTGGTCGCTTTTACGGGATATGTGACAAGAGAATCGAGGCTCACCGCGTCGCGTGCGACGTCGCGCCCGCAAATGACGATGGTTCCAGGTAGTAGATGGCGACAACAGGCAATTCAAAAATAGTCATGAATGTCTACGATGACGGGGTCTACATGAAGTCCGGTGCTCCAATCGACAGGTTAACACGAGTTAAGAAAACGCCGCGCCCATCGCCGCGCGCGACGGAGCGGCAAATTACGATTTTCTTGCCCTTCTCTCGCGTTTCCGAGCTGCACATTTCACAGCCCAATCGTCCACACAAAAAAGTAGATAGTTTGTCTCTCTGTTGACTCCGTCATTGATTCTTAGTCAGCTAAGCGAAATGTGAAAGCTTTACATCACAGGCCCTCTGGTTGTGGGGCTCAGAATAGAAGGAGTCGTTGTCCGAAGGAGCACAAAGATCAGCTATTTATCTTCAGAAAATTTGTGAGCAGCTGCTGTGAAATAAGTGCACATCTGCTCGATTTATAATTTAGATTGATGTGTTCAGCCTTGCAGTCAATTATCCATTTGCACTTTCAAGACTATCTAACTTCTAGTAAAAAAACTAAGGCAAGATAAGTTGGCACTTGCTCGGAAATAGTGGATGGGGTGCTATAAAGAGACTATCCACTATAGCAGTATATGCGTTTAGTGTAGTCGTGCCACGCGGTATAATTGTGTAACTGTTTCCCAATAGAGGCAACCGAGCAACAATTTTATATAAGATGAATAGCCTGCACATGATCAAAGTTCTGAGCAGGACATTTTCAGCTCCATTCGTCCAATCGATTTTATCCAACGGGATTTAAACGTCACATTCCCCTATCAGTTTCTTGAAGAAGACTCAACAAGCGACCCAAAGTATACATTACCTACACAAGGGGTAGCGCTCAGAACAAGAAACCAGGCCGAAGAGGCACTAAGATCCTCTTGCGAATTCACTGAACGCTTTTGGGAGGTGTGGCAGAAACATTACCTCACCAGCCTACGGGAAACGCATAGAAGATTTATATCAAAACAACGGCATCATCAACTAGAACCTAGAGTTGGGACAGTCGTACTTCTATGAGCGATCCAATCTTACCTCGCAATGCTTGGAAAATGGCCCGCATAACCAATCTACGCTATAGTAGGGATGGACAAATTCGAGAAGTTGAATTGGTAACAGCCGCGAAACGACGGATAAAGCGTCCTGTAAATCTCATTGTGCCACTGGAAATCGAGACAATGAAGAAAATCCAGAAGACCATGAAATACTATCAAAATCACCAACAAAAGCGACTGCACAAGAAGAATTGAAACTTCCCTATAACCTCCGGCCACGCAAACTGGTAAATTACGCAGAGCCGATCACCACTAACTTCACAGTAGGGAGAACTACCCCCCGACAATGGTTCTTTTTCACATTATGGTGTTCTCGTTAGTAGCAACAGTATTGTTAACAGGCGTACAAGGAAACAAAATAACACTATCAGAAAAGGGAACCATATATAACGCATCAGCAAGTACAGCATTCAAA